GTCATAACAAAGAGCTCGCGCCAAACCACTTGAGGGCGTGCTAAAGTTCACGAATGTTCTCAATTTCACCAAACAAGTGTGCCCACCTAGGCGTGGTCTCTGAGGTCCTGTAGTACACCGTTTGGACATAGTTAACAACAACGTTTAACTGTTCTCGAACAAACCTAATAGTAGGGTTATGTCGGAATTCTATTCTTGTTTTCTATATGCTGAACATACCAAGGATCATGAAAAGGTCATACGGAACAGAATCACTCTCTACAACAGGCAAGTACGTCCTTGTTTCCGGGGACAACAAAAATTATTTTTCAAGGTTCCTTAAAATCTAACGCCCCCCCCCCCCTCCCCCCCCCCCCCCCCCCCCAGAAAAAAAAAAAAAAAAATACCGCATTTTAACAAAAAACTGAAAACGTGTTCGATAGCTTCAGGTGTCATACAGAGCAGGAAATTACGAACCAAGGAACGATAATACCCTTGTCTATTAGCCACGGTTTAGCAGCCAACGTCTAACTATGCAAATTAAAGGAAAACAACTTACCCGCTGGTGGAGCACACATCCTTTTCACACGCCGCAGTATATCTTGACCAGGGCACCGGCAATGCAGCGAACGATACAGCGATGCAGGAAAAAGGAGCTCTATCAGGTCACGACTGAGCTTTCTTTTAGTAACACAAGCAAGGTAGTCCATCCGAAAACGCGTTTGCAAAAACAATGGAGCCCCTTTCACTTCTTTCAAGTATCCCGAAACACACGGCGGTTCATCACTTAGTCAGCAACATTGCCGGCAAAAAGTTCGGCATTCTCACCTGGATTGTAGCACGTAAAAAAGGATGATTCTGATCGGCAGGAATTAAAAGTACCGGAAGATTCATTGTTGAATTTTGGGGGAATGCATTACCATGAACCTTTGGAAACGCAACACAGGTCCCCCTTTGTGAAACGCTAACGCTGACCCCTTCACTTTTCTCTTCTGCTTCCTCTATTTTTGTTGCCTCTTTTTGGCCTCGTTGCGGGGGCAGTATTACCGTTTATCAAAGGGGTACATATGGGGCGTTTCTCAAGGGTCATGCTTACGAATTCCCTAAGAATTCACCAATGCATCTTCCTGTAATTTGTTTCACCCCTTCTCTGTACTCTGCATGTCAGAGTATACGTCGAAGCGCTTGAATATGGTCACGCATACCACTCGTGGAAAGAACCACATCCATACCACTCGTGGAAGGAACCCTATCCATGTCACTCGTGGAGGGAACCACATCTATCGTTTTAACTACAAACACACATCACAGCCAACGCACTGCTTTACGGAAAATCAAAGCGAAGAACAACCGGCGACGGCAGAGCGGAAACTGAGCACCCCCGCATTTCACCGCGTCAGTTGTGCGCGTGACTTTGACGAAAACGAAAGGGCTCGTTTTGACGAAAGCCCGGCGGTATCTGTCAGTTTGTCAGTGCCGGAGAGATAGGGAGAGGCTGACGCGTGCTGACATCAGCGCCTCGAACCAATGGGAGCGCCGTACGCGTCACCCTCTCCCCCTCCTTCTCCCTCTCTCCTCAGCACTGACACACGAAAGACACCGCCGGGTTTTCGTCAAAACGAGCATTCTAATGTAAACGCATTAAAAGCGCGAAACGAACTCCAAGTACAAAGAGGTGCGAGAGGCCAAGGCCGCCCGACTTGGTTTTCTCTCTACATCTTCTCCCACTCGGATTTCCAGATGAATGGGGCGAACACCCGGTAAAACTCCTGGACTAATGTGGGCACATGTTAAAACTTGCATATTATACCAGCGTTTTGCTATCAAAATGATATGTATTACACACTGTGGCACGCGCAAATATTTAATTCCGATTGGCCCAAGTGTCCAGTACGGTGTGCTACCTTTGTAATACTCAAAGGGCACTCCGATATACGTACATGACGTCGCTTCCCAATTAATGCCTAAAAAATATTGAGGCTTTAAAGCCCACCTCCCATGCCACACCCCAAAACATTTCCCCCAGTTCACCGCATGTTACCGTAGCGTTACGATGTTCCTTTGTGAGAGCAACCGCCTCCATGATGCTCTCGTCGGCACTTCAAAAAGAACAGCTACATCATCAGCGTAAGCGGTCACTTTAACCTCGGCACTACTTAAAAGAAGCCACTGAATATTCATGCTAGCTCTCAGACAGAAAGGTTCAAGGTACAGAGTGAACTGTAATGGTGAAAGAGGACAGTCCTAGTTGTCTGACTGATAACACAGCAGTCGTTTTAGAATCATTATTATTTAACACGAGCCTGGTGGTACATCCTCTCTGTTCGTTTGAACACTTTTGTGCGTTGTCTTGTTAATGAGCGTTTGACCTGATATTCTGCAGCCGCAGGCTTTATTTCCATGTATTAAAGAGAAAAGACTCGTGGCCGAGTGGATTACTGCTTCAGAAGCACAGGGGCCTGGGTTCTACCCCCGCAACCTCGCAGCTCGCACAAGCAGTTTGTTTTTCAGATTTGTGCTCGTCGGCTTATGCGCCGTGGTCAGGGGTTTCCCCAGGATTCTAATCAAGGGGCGGTGTCCCAATGGCTCGGGGGGGGGGAGGCGATGCGAGGCGAGGCTAGATAAAATATAAAACTGTTTCTTTTTTAGTCCACTAGCTAAATTACAGACGTCTATTAACCAAATGCTCATACCCGTAATGTATGTATCCCTTTCTCTATATATACACCTGAGAGGTGGTGTTTTCTACTTAATCTGAAAAAAAAAAAAAATGTTTATTTTTTTTTTTTTTTTTAGATTTAAGGGGGGGGGGTGTCCAGGAAAATTAGGGGGGGGGGTCTCCATAGGGGGGGTCTAGGGAAATCCCTGGCCGTGGTACCGGCGATGAACACACGGCTACGCTTGCACGATGATTAACATTGACACACAGCGACGTACACATGGCGATATACATATGCTGTAAAATGCACCCGCTAAAATAAACTTCTGATAATTGCCGGTATAAAAAAATTGCGCGCAAAAGCCCCCCCCCCGCCCAGGAAAATGGAAAGTCTACGCCTCTGCATATCGCCACCCCGCGTGCAATATAGTCCGCGCAACTGGTGTGCGCGGGGTCAGTAAATACTGGGTCAGCGCACACCAGTGTCGGTCTGATCCAGCTAAAGCACTGGAGAATATAGTATTCAGTGCTTTAGATCCAGTTAAAGTGCCTAAGTAAGAGCTTCATAGAAGTATCGACATTATTTTAACTGCGTGACGGTGCAGGTTTTAGGAAGCGAATGGCGGCGCAAAGCAGAGGTTTGAACTAAAGGACGCCATTTTGTTTAGCGGACTGTGCTTTGTCATTTGTATTGGCTGTCGTTACTTGTAAAATAAATAGTAAAGGGATACTTCAACGAAGTTTGATATATTCCCGTCGTGTTCAAAAATAGGTTGAATATGATCCACAATATCCGTAAATGGCAATCGCACGTTTGTATTTTGAGCCTGGTGGCTGTATTTTTCGTTATTAACGGCCCACTCTGGCAAGCGCTCGGAGAAGGCCCAGCGGAGACCACGTGACATCCAACGCAATCGTGACGTAGGTCGTCTCAGGACGAGCAAAGCTGCGGCGAGGCTGACGTCTAGAGGATGGCCTAGTCGTTCCAGCCACCGAAGCGCTGCCTTTGTACAAATTTTGAGTGACGGGTTAATCTTCTGTAATCTTGTAGGCGGACAATAGCGACTTCGGCGGCACACAAAAGGCATTCTCGGGAAGAGGGGAGTTCCTCCTGCCCCTCTTCTCTCGTCGTGGCCGGGGGCGAGACAACCTCCGTCACTAGCTGTCAAGGTTCCTAGACGGGCATTACAAGCGAGGCGTTAGCGACATCCACCAGGTGCTTTTTGCTAATCGTTTAATTCGTTCCTTTTCGAGACTTTTTTAACAAGATATTGGTATGTTCGATGTGATGCTGCTTTTTTGAACACATATAGATAAGAAAATGAGCGCCGAAATTTCGTTGTATTATCCCGGTATCCCTTTATGGGACTTTAGATCCAGTCAGAGCCGTATATTCGGGCAGTCTGGCCAGTGGGTGTGGCGACGAAGGCGCTGGAGAGGAAAAAAGTGAAGGAAAGGGAGGAGAGCACCGAAGGAGCAAGAGAGGAAGAAGAGCAAAGAGGAGACGACCGCCATTTTGACGCAACGCTGTCGACGCCACTGATCTCAATGACAATTACTGGATCGCGCTTCCCGCTTCCGCAAGTGAAGCCACCGGACGCAACCTGGCTGGGATACGATTTGCGGTTTTGCCAGCGTTTTGCTGCGGTTTTCCAGCGTGCTGTAAACACGTTTTCTACTCGTTCGTCGTCATTCGCCGAATAAGTTTTCTAAGACTCTGTGTATTGTTGAGACTTGCCATTGTGAATACGTGGAAAATTTTACGAAAGCGCAGTGTCGCAGGAAAAAGGCACAGCTCGTCGAAAGCAAGGGTCTGGCGGCGTGTTCAAAGCTTCCTTGGCACGTCAAAGTGCCGCGGTGCCGTGGTCACCGTGGTGCCGTGTCCAGGGGGGAGCGTTACGGCAAGTTAGGGCGGCGAGATTGGCGAGATTGGCCAAACTCTCCCCTTACACGGCATTGGATCCAGTGGGCAGCTTGGGCCATCTATCCGCAGGTGTTCAAAGCATATAAGTTTAAAACTTAAGTTAACGATATATATATTTGTTTTCAAAAATTTTTTTAAGAAAAAAATCGTTTTAAAGTAATTTTTTGTATAAATATTTATGATTTGCAACTTGATGTGAAGAACAACAGAGGGACAAGGGGTGTAAAAACATGGCCGCCATAAAGCTTGGTGGTAAATCTGGTAAATCTAGTAGGACTGAAGGACATATAAAAGCTCGAGTACTAAACAAAACAAATTGTCAGTATAGTTTAATATGTGAATAATACTAAAAAAAGTTTATTATCAAATTATTAAAATTTTTATTAAGCTTTCTCAAAAGTTATTTGTACTCATGCGCCTTTCACGGCGGACCACATTTCTTCCGCCACGGGCCACAGTGGTGAGATACAGCGATATCTTCGTCGTCATTAGCAGTGGCACATTCCATAGCATAATAATCAAGAACAATAGGAAGTGGTTGTCTTTAGCGCAGCGCCGTGAGTGTGTGATACATCCGCCGCATGTCCACCCAGCAGCCCAGTGCCTTGAACTCAGCTCCGGATGGGAAGCCTTTCGTGTTAGGCGAATGCTCCTCGAACCTTTAACATCGTCGACGTGCTCTTGAGTGAGTCGTTCAGTATTCCAGCGATAACGCGAAACTGTGCCGAACTACCTGTAAACTTCAAGACAGAAAAAAAAAAAAAAAAAAAAGAGGGCCCGCCAACTTCCTGTTTCAAAATGACAGGCCCTCGTTTGGGCTGGGCCGCGCGAGCCGCGCCGTGTCCGAAGTTTACTCGAACGAGCTTACTTGCTCAGTTGCGAATTCGAGCTGAATTTGCTCGTTCCTCGTCGTTAAACTAGGTGTTGGTATTCCATTTTTGCCAGGCTGTCGCGGCGCTGAGTGCTTCGACGACGACGACCGAGGCCGCGCCGTGGGCGAGTCCGCAGCAATGAGCTTCCTGTTCAAGTTGAAACGCAAAGACAAGCGGAGCGTCGATTCTGCTGTCATCGAGCAGATTGGCCAGCCTTTCTCCGTATCCCATGTGGTTCATGTGGGCTTCAATCCCGCTACGGGACACGTCGAAGGGCTGCCGGAACCATGGCTCAAGCTGCTGCAACATGCCAACATCAGGCGAGTTTTACTGCCGCGTTTTTTTCTACGTGGTGTGCCACGCCTGAATTTTCCGTTTCTACAAACCGATAAAGCTCGTACGTTCGGCAGAACAGTGGACATTTATGGCCAAGGTGTGTTCTACAGGTCCAAGTCCAAAGTTGTCCAACATGGTTTAGCTCTGAGGTTGTAGAACATGGTTTTGGTCCAAAGTTGTAAAACATGGTTTTAGGTCCAATGTTGTACAGCGTGGTTCAGGTCTAAAGCTGTATAACATAGTTTACGTCCAAAGTTTCGCAGCATGGTTTAGGTCCAGAGTCGGACAGCATAGTTCATAGCCGACAATCCATATTTGTAATACCCGCGTCCCATTAGTGCGACAGACAGCGACAAACGACGCCGACAGGCAGCCTGTTTGTTGTAGTCCGCCGTCCCACCTGGCGGGCACGACGTAGAACACAAAAAGGGCGACTTGTTTCCTAGTTGGTTTGAAGTTGTCAACAAAACACTTCAAGATACAAAGTCTGCTTATTTATCATTGGCGACTTTCTACAACCCTTCGTGACTACCGACTCCAAACTTTTTCCAAACTAGAATTCCCGAATCGTTCCTTGTTTGGGTTATTCGAGGTGAGTGCCACATAATTTTATGTCGATTTCGAGGATGTTAGTATTAAAATGAATGAGGGCAGGTGTTTCTCGGGGGACATACGGCATCCCGACTATCGCAGAGCGTGATGACAAGTCTCTCTTCTGCCGGAATGGCTAAAAATTGCTATTTTTAGGTTGTGTCCCTTCCAAGCTTTTTATAGTGGCAATCGAGGGACAACGAAGCAAAGGACGGTACTTCCCAGTCAGCACTGTTTATATCCCGCCATAGAAACTAGCCGCATTTATGCCGAGGCCGTTATTGATCCCTACACTACTACTGCTAGGAGTGGGCTATCTTTCTGTGTATAAAAAAATAGAACAAATCAAGTCCAAAATAGGGGTGGGCTATTTTTTGGGGCAGGGGCATCTCGGGATTTTATGGTAGTTTACTGTATTTATTAGTCTCATTAATGAAAGGCTATTTTGAGCATGACACACTGTATATTGATGTGGCCAATGTCGCTTTTTTGTTGGAAAGTGTGTGCACACTAGTTTGACCAGTGCTCTGTAGAAAACACCAGGCTTTTTGTTTTATTTGACTTCATGTTTGCTCCATGTCAGCTTTTCTAATTGGATGCCAGAATCAGACGAAGGAGACTCAAATTACAGCCTTTTTCTTTTTTCTCCATATGAGTCATCCTTGTGGCTCGACGAGCCTCCATACTTGTTAAAGTGTGGCAAGCTCGGAGTAGAGCCAGTCTCATGGAAACGTTTTCCGCTAATGCAGTGCGACAGAACAGAGCCAGCACCCAGCAGCTGTCCTACAGGCGCTCAAGTACTATCAACATTCCATCAAAAACAAGAATGGTCTGGCCAAATACCTGGCCACCAAGGAAACCGCAGAGCAGGAGTCCAAGGAGATTGCCGATACCATCCCGGGTGAGTAATTATTCAGAGTCTTTCCGAGTGGCACTCTTGCCTCCAATTGTTTTAAGTCAAAATGAATGTCTTGTTGTCGACAGAAAAAGACAGGAAAAATCGAAAATCGTGAAATTCTGCTCTCTCTCTCACTCTATCCATCAAAAGATTTTTAAAAAGAATCCCTAGAAGTGGGGATTTGGCCCCACTGTACGAGCCCGTGCCACACACTTTCAGAGCTGAGTGATGATGAGAACTTGGCAGAGCAGACAGAGGCACCCAAGTCGCCAAAAAGGGAACCCAAGCCCCCCGAGGCTCCCCCTGCCACCGTCCCGCAGGTGTCGCCTGTGCTGCGCAAGCGGGAGGAGGCACCACGCCCGTCAGATGAAGAGGTCATGGCTCAGCTGCGTGAGTGGGAGTCACTTATCCCTTGCAACTGTTAGGGGCGAACCTGGCTTATCCATCAAATGAACAGAACCCTACAGAACAGAGACCCTTAAAAGATTTTTACTCCTTGGCGCGCGTTCTGTTCGTGTCCTCATTCTCGAGCTTCCGTTCATAAGGATTCATTACTTCTTCCGGCAGACTTAGTGTGGCATCATTCCGGGTTCTTAGACCTGACTGGCAGGTGTACGCGTGGTCAGGGGTCCGAGCAAGTTGCGAGCTCATGGTTCTAGCTTCCAGGAGCTCTAGACCTGTCCAACACAAAAAGTTGGGGCCGGAGTTTACGGAGCGCGCTGATTGAGCTCTCGCAACGATGACGCCTAATGTTTGTAGCCGAAGTTCAATCGTGGCCCTCTGCAAACTTTCAGCTCCAACTTTGTGTTTCACGAGCCTAGAGCCCCTGTGCTTCGTTTTCTTTTCTAGTCTTTATTGAAACTTGTTTATATGGCAGGGTACATGCCAACAAAGGAGCAGAAAAGGAAACTCGAGAAAACGAAATGCGTGAGGTGGATGATGGAGGAATTAAGGCCCGACCACAAACGTATGATGCCGGACAATTGGAATGTAAATATCTAAATATAAAAATTGCTGCTAACCTTATTACTTGCCGGTCAGTCAGTGGCTCCTTCATCTTCATTTTAGTTGTAGTAGAACTAGGGCCTTAACTGCTACAGTGCCTTCCCTTGAGATGTGTCTCTGCTGCACGAGGGAGAGAATGTGCCAGGGGCAATTGCGTAGCCATAATGTGGTTTGCTTGTCTCCAGGGGCCGTTGTGAACCCGGAGGACCCTAAGGAACGGTACAACCTGCTGGACAAGGTGGGATCGGGGTGAGTGGCCTCCAAACCAGTGCGAGGTTGGACGGCTCCAAAAAAAATGACTGCTGCTAGCTGCTTTGTCTCTGTTCTCTTATATGTTGCTGGAAGAAAGAATATGTTCTTCAAACAAGGGGCAGCAGTGTCAAAATATTTTCTGTAAAACCATGTGCAGCTAGCGTCTGCGTCGGTAAAAGTTTCTCGTCTGGATGGGAAAGGGGAGAACTGAGGTGAGATTTTGTCTTCCAACATCAACACATATTTATTCCTGTATTAAAGATTGGTTTACAAAATATTTTTCAGCTAATATTGAGCTTTTTTTTAACTTGTTTAGAGAACAAGGTTGGTAATTTTTTAGTACAAACTTTGGTGACAGCTCCATCCTAGGTGCAGCAAAACAGTGTCAGGTGTTACCTAACAGACTACCTTTGAATTTGGCTTAGGTAATAGACCCTTTCCGAAATTCAGTCTGGCCACTTTGATCACTATCATCATCTGTGGCACGGCATCGGTGTCCTGCCCATGGCGGCCTTCTAGTGACTGATAAAGGAAGACGTTGAAGATGCTCCTAAGCAGATGATGCGAGGCCTGTACATTCAGGGGGTCAATACAACACGACGTAGGAATGGAACACAAGAGCTACGTAAGCATTCATTTTTAACTTAGATTTAGTCGATTTGTGGGCGGCACACAATCGGCTTTAAAACCCCTTTGGTGGATAGAAATTTATCGAGGCATCTGTGTGGGTTGGACCTTTGTTCTGCAAGTTCTTGGTCACCATTGAACTGAAAGTGGTTGAGAAAGAACTCACATTGAACAATTCCTCGCGTGCCCTTGACTTGCGAAAGTGACGGTGTCCGATGAAATACAAGTTCATTACCGCCATTGGTGTGGCAAAAGCTAAACTCCTATACGAACCACGATGGCACTGAATTTTGGAAAGGGTCTATTGCCTGCAGTTATTGAGGAAAGGGGAACTTCCCTTTCCCAACCATGGGTTAGCCTTCAAGGCAGGCAAATGATGCAAAGAAATAAGAATGAAAAGGTTTAACATTTTACCATGTTCCAACTATCACCAGCTCGTTTGCACCCTAACCTTCTGTTCATGAAAAGGGGTGTAGGCGGTTGCGACTTAAAACTAGACATTAATTTAAAACCTTGAAATGGAAGGAAGGAAACGTAATTCAGCATAAACATGCATGGCGTGGGTAGGTCTCATGTGGTAAACTTCTAAAATTCTTCTGAGAATGAAGAATCTTGGTGCTAAGTCTGCAGTAACGGCAACTGACATAGTTGCTGGAGGTTAGATGGTGCAACGTTAAGGTGAACTTACTTCTTTTCGCCCCTATTCCAAAGAGTGCCAGCATATAAAACGCAGCTTGAAACTTAAAGGGGCTTTCCGGAGCGTTCTGCGATGGTCTATTTATGGCGGTAACTCAATCTACAGGCCCTGCAGATCCTACAAATCATAAAATTACAGTCATGCGCGGTGGATTTCCCTACTAAAATTGCTATCAAGGTTCCCAGCACGCCCCCCTTTCTGAGATGACCCCGGAAAACGGGAGGGGCATCTCTTTACGCGTAAGCCAATAGCAAGCGAAGGATTCCGGCGTCACTACGCGTCACCAACGCTGCCGACCGCCGACCCGCGGAGGAATCTCTTTGGACTTTGTGCTCGGCAGTCGTCGTTCGTCGCACCGCACCGTCGCGCTGCTACTGCAATTCGCAGTGGCATTACACAGATGACAAGGAAAAGTTTGACTCGTTGACGTGAAGGATCGCAAAGCTGGCTTCAGAGTTGGGATCCACGGGAAGAAGGAACACGTGTCCCGCAAACGCACGCCTGCACACGCCCCGGGAAGCAGACGAGCTGACGCACCGACGCATCACCCCCTAGCAACAAGCTTGCGGGGAGAAAACATAGTTCGCTGGTTTTGGAGCAATAATTGCGAACTATGTTTCCCGCACCACAATCAGTTTGCGTTTTTCTCAAACTCTAACTTACAACAAGCTTAAAAAGTGTTGCAATAATAATGTTTGCATTCACCGTGAGATGCAGCATTTCCATTGGTCAAGTTTTAGTGATGGGCAGGGAATGGGGGATTGTCTTCCAAGAGAAAATAGCCCCGATATATTTCTACTGCCATCTGCTTAATAACGGTCTTGTAATCTAAAACTTTGTATACATATTAACTTGCACCTACTACGCAATATAACAACATAAACAGACGATTGCAGAAAGCTCCGGAGGGCCCCTTTAATTGAATCCCAACAAAAAGCGTGATAAAACACACAACTTATAGCCCGGCTTTAGTCTTCATATGTCAAGAGTTGTAATGCAGAAAAAGAATGAAAGTGTCTACTTAGTTGAAAACCCAGTCGGAACTCCTGTGGACAATGTTGCACATACAATGCCAAGTTTGCAGAAAAAATGAAACCACGAGAAATTGGCCTCGTTTCGAAACTTAAGGCCGCAGTTCGCTGTTTTGGCAGTGTCTGCGGAAACTGTTGGGATTAAATATCCGGCCTCCTTTTGGCAGTGCCTCCGGGACGGTGTACACGGCTCTGGACAACACGACTCAGCGCAAAGTGGCCATCAAGACCATGGAGCTCTCCCAGCAGCCCAAGAAAGAGCTGATACTGACGGAGATTGAGGTGATGCGGCAGAACAAGCACCTCAACCTGGTCAACTTCCTCGACTCATACCTGGTTGGCGAAGACCTGTGGGTGGTGATGGAGTACCTGGAAGGGGGAGCCCTGACGGACGTGGTCTCTGAAACTGTCATGCGGGAGGAGCAGATGGCCGCCATCTGCCTGGAAGCCACTCGGGCCATAGCTTTCCTTCACTCTAAAGGCATCATCCACAGGTGAGCAGGCTTTCGGGCTTACCTTTCAGAGGCTGTATTCCTTTCCAAGAGACTGCATGCCTTTTCAAGAGGCTGCATGCCTTTTCAAGAGGCTGCACGCCTTTCCAAGAGGCTGCATGCCTTTCCAAGAGGCATGCCTTTCCAAGAGGCTGCATGCCTTTCTAGAAAGGGTTCATGCCTTTTCAAGATGCTGGATTCCTTTCCAAAAGGCTGCATGCCTTTGTGAAAGGTTGGTGAATGCTATAGCTTGCAGAGGGGCTGCCGAATCTCGGCCGTGTGCACGGGATGTTTGGAATTTTCCCGGTGGCGCCATCGCACTGGGGGCTCTAGTGTGGCAGTCAGAGATCCAGTATGATCTGGGTTCCTCATTGCTTGTTGAGTAAATGGCAGGGTGAAATTCGGAACCCCTTTCGGGATGGGTGGACAGAACTTTTAAAGTGGAGAGCATAGTGGCCTGACGTTTGGTTGTGTTACTGCCTTTTTAGTATTTTCTTACAGTCATGTCTTATTAATATGGATACCTCTGTTCCCCCAAAAAATCGTTCGTAATGCGAGTCATTTATAATAATGAGACAAAAATGCATGTATTTACCAAGTTTGTCCCCGAAATTTTTGTCTTATTGCAGGGTGTCCATATTAACAACAGTAGCACTTTATGTTAGAATTCACACCTTTCTTTGTTGCATTAGTTTTAATGCTGGGATGCTGCATGTTATGCATGGTACCGTATTTGCACGAATATAACGCGAGTTTTTTTTCGAAATTGCGTGCTCCAAAACGCACCTCGCGTTATATTCGGAATTGAGTTCAGCCACGAGGTGTGCGAGTCTGGAGAAAGCCAGAGGAGAAAGTCATCCCTCAGGCTCAATGCAAAAGATCCGGTGGGAAAAGTAGTGGGGGTGTGGAAGGGAATTTATTAGCTATTGGGCCACGTGAAGGGGCGAATAGAAAACATAAAAAAGCATTTTGATCGCTTTTGTGTTTGTACAACGCGGGCACGCCGCAGAAACACAGCGCGGGCGCGCGCGCCATGCGGGAATGCGGGCACTGGCCTATTCGAGCCAAGCCAAGCCGGGCCAAGTCAAACACAAGCCAAGCCAAGACAAACGACCGCGTTTAGGCAATCGTGCAACACGAGGCATTTGTTTAGGCAGAGGAACCAGAACAAGAAGTGTAATCGTGTATTGGATTCAGCAGTCTTTTTTTTTTTTTTTTTTTCTGCTTGCACATTGTTTAGTTTCTGCTCCAGAGTGGTCTGGTGTTTGTGTGTTGGTGCTTCTGCTTCGTGCCTTGTTTAAATTGTGGGCTGCCGACTGAACTCGCACGGAAGAAAAAGGAACTACCGGACAAGCGCAGGTGCCGTGCTGCTGCTTATCTGCGTAGTCGCCAAGTGGATTGTAAACGGAGGGACCTGAGCAGTGAGGATGAGCGCAGTCAAAACATAAACTGATATTTCTTCTATTTCCATTGACTTTTCACTTCTGCTACGCCCCCGAGTGCGAGAAATTGACGCGGCCTCGGCTCGCGTTATAATAGTAATAATTTTTTTTTTTTTTTCCTTTTTGGGGGCATCAAAACCTGCCCTCGCGTTATATTCGTGCAAATACGGTAAACAGGGACTCAAACCGTAACCGAAAACTGTTTAGGAATATAATTTTTCAGCAACCATAACCAGAACGAAACCGTTAAAACCTTAACTGTAACCATAAATTGTTTACCGGTAACCAATATTAACTGACATTAACCGACACATAAAAATATTAGTTTTTCCTCAAGAATTACCTCAAAGAAGGGTTCTTGAAATGTCACGGTCTTTTGAGAGTCACCGTCAGCGAGTGGTGCATTTGGTAATATATTTTTGTGCAATCTAAATTTAGGATAAGAAAACTTAGTTGGAATCAGTGGTGGTGCTTACAATAACAAATCTAGATTTCTAAATCTGATGCATTCCTACAATTGGTACATGTATTCAGTACATGTCACCTTCAGGGTATTAACTAGTAAGTTAGAATTTTTAGATGTCCGTCCAACTCGGTTCTTTCAAAATCACAACTATTCCTGACCAGCAGCAGCCAGTATGATAGAAACAAGGTAAATTTACCATCATGCAGAGCTGGCAGAAAAATACAACAACGTGGTATTCATATTGTCAGAAACATGTTGGAGAAACAATTTTAAAGCAACACAGAATGGAAAAAAAAAAAAAAAAGTGAGGTTTTGCGTTGGAGGTTTTGCATTGACGTTTTCTATAAAGACACTGACAGGTATATACACTATATATTTATATATAGTCTCCCACCGATTCTTCGCAGGGAAGGAAAAATTGCCCGAATAATAGAGCAGTCCAAAAAATCAGCAGCTTAAAAACCTTTTTTTTATTATGTCTATGGGGGTTTAAAAAGCCGTCAATAGTGCCTTGCTTCAGGTTACGCCGGCGTGCAATAATGTCCACTTGCATTTGCGCGAGCGTCATGTTCTCGTCGTAGACATTCAACACCAGCGTTAGTGCGTTGGTTCGAAAGGATTGGCAGCAACTTTGGAAGTTTTCCCGATTGTCAAAAGTCGCGACTTTGATAGTACCATATGCGTTGCCCACAATTAATGTAGTTTTCCATGAATTTCTCAGATGAGCTAGAATGTTTTCATTCATTTTAGACTATTTATATTTTATAACTTGTTAATTAAAATGCTGCAATTGGCACCAGTGATGATAATTTGGACACTTTTAATTGCCATACTTGTTCACGCGCTTGCAATTCAATCATAAGCAACAAATTATATTAGAGCTTGAAAAATGATGTATTAAAATATCTTCAGTCTATTATTCTTATTAATACGAATTGTGGCAATGTAGGCCCCAAATAAATACCACAATCGCAAAAATATTTAACGGGGGGACTAAATTTAGCAAAAATTTCCCCACTGAATTTAGCGGGTTAAGTTTCCCCGCTAAATTGAGCAGGGAAATTGGCGTCGCATGGCCTCAACACCAATTCAGTTTCCCTGCTAAATTTAGCGGGGAAACTGTGATGTCCCATAATGCAACGCGTGCGACTACGCCGCCGCCGCTCGACCCGGAAACGGACGCCTAAGAGCTGCATTCTAAAGCACACACAAGCCGCATGTGCGTCCCGTACCTCCATGGCACGAGCGAGGTCCTAGCCCGCGTTTTGAGACCGTACGGCATTGCAGTTACGCATAAACCTGTCTCAACTCTGGGCCATTTTCTTCCTCTTCCAAAGGATCGTCCACCAAAAGAAAAAGCTCAAGGCCTGATTTACCAAATTCCTTGTGCCGAATGCGACGCCTCTTATGTGGGGGAAACAAAGAACTTTCCCGAACGTTTGCGTAGACATAAGTATGACGTAAAGAAGAATGACATCCAAGGCAGCGCGCTGGCGGAACATGCTCGGAAGACCGGCCACGCCATTGGCTTTGACAGCAGCTCCATCCTCGACACAGAAAGAAACTGGAGGAAGCGGCTCTTAATAGAATCTTGGCACATACTAAATACAAGCAACAACCTGAACCGATCCACCGGAACGCTTCCAAGCAGCTACATACACGGACTAAAATGCGCCACACACAGAAACAGAAGAAGAAAACAAAGCTAAGAGAGAAGAGATGAAAACGACGACAGGTTGCTACCTTTGGGCCCATATACAGTCACCCGTGAACAAGGAGCCGAGCTGGCTTCGAAACGTCGGGCACATTGAAGAAATTGGTTAGCTTCTATAACCACATGCATTTGCTCGGTAATGGCAAGCATGACATAGGTGTAACAGTGCAGAACAACGAAGTTTGGGGAAAGGAACAAACAGGGTGTCTAGCGACCGGGGAAACTGGGAATTGTCAGGGAAATTTTAATTACCGGGAAAAATCAGGGAATTGTCAGGGATATTGTCAAAAAGCGAGCCCATTCAGGGAAAATGAGCTGGAAACACCATCGTGTGCTCTGAGCAAAGACTTTAGGACTTGGGGGCAGAATGGGCAATAATTCAGCTTAAAGCAGAGCGTGGGCTCCACTCCCCCGATGTAGTGTGCTACCCGATGCAAAGGGAATAGCCGTCAAATCCAGGCCAAGCCTTGGATTGGATTGAGGGCGCGACACTAGCAGTGATGTGATTGCTGCGCCAATTGCGCCAAACTGCGCCAAGGGGCTAACCCTGCTACATCCTGCTACATTTTGCCAAAATATGGGTAGTCTGCGCCAAGCCTGCACCAACAAAACAAAACAAAAACAATTTCATTCGCCTTTCAAAACTGAAACTAAACTGAGCACTGTATTGAGCTTGAGTGTGTTATGTGGCGCAAGCGGCCAACCAACACAAGTACCCTGCATCAATCGTTCATCCGGTCCTGCATGATTTTCCCGCCATCTGGCGTTTTGCGCTCTCGTCGTCCCAAGAATGTCGTCTCGCGTCTTTTTTTTTTTTTCAACAATAGTTGCGGGTGTGTGCAGACGCTTTGACGCTAGGTTGCCGGGTACCAGCCATGCCGTCATGCTGTGAAACGAAACCGCGCGTTTTTGCGCGGCGGGAGTTACTTTGTGAACTGAAGCACTCGCTCCTGAAAGCAACAGTTGTGAGAAAACTATATTTGATCCCTGCCTTCTAGTCACCGTGGTCGCGCGACGTCAAGCGTTGCCGTCCCCACGTCGCTGCAGATATGACGCTTTCTAAAATGAAACTAAGTATCGCCGTATGTTCATCAACATTCCTGTTCTTGTTTAAACCATACATTATTGCAGAAATCCCTGTTTAACTCAAAGACAGCTCTGTCAAAGTATTGATTATCTAGTTTTTTCTCGGTGGGCTTTCTTTTGAGAGGGATTCTGCTACGTCAAAAATCTGCTGCGAAAGAAAGTTGGTGAAGAGAAGTGAGCTAAAGCAAAGAAGGCAATCTATGCACGCTGAATCCGCACAGGGCGCTTGTTTGTCTCGAGTTCAGCCGTTGCAAAAACCTCTGCAAGAACTTTTTGACCATGGCTTGCGATGTGT